ATCGCCACAAAAACCACAAACACGTCCGTCAGCGCATTATTATACGCCAACGTGACCCCCGGCAGTATACTCTCATCAATCGTCTTCTGCACACTCGTCGCGCCCAGCAACAAGATATCCTCGGGATTGCCGAACCCAGGCGCAAGCTCACCGACGTACTGCACCAGCTTGTTGGCAAACACGTTCTGCGCAATGCTCACAAACAGCGCGCCGCCGAGGGTCTGCATGAACACCATCAGCGCCGTGCCGACGGAGACGTCCTTGATTTCCAGAACGGTCTGCACCGCCATGAGAGATTGTTGCAGGCCCATTCCCAGGCCGGCGCCGACGAGGATCTGGTAGCCGATCCATTTATCGGATTTGGTGTCGGGCTGGAAGGTCGTCAGGAGACCGTAGCCGATGCTGGAGACGACGGAGCAGAGGATCATGAAGGGCGTGTAGTAGCCTAGGGCGGAGACGAGACCGCCGGCGAGTACCGACAAGATGACCATCGACAAAAGCATGGGGAGGTTCATTATCCCGGACTTGACGGCTGTGGCGCCCTTGACGGCTTGGAACCAGATGGGCAGGTAATAGACTGAGCCCATGAAGGCGGCGCCCAAGCTGAAGGTGAAGATGGCGGCGGCCCAGACGGAGCGCTTCTTGAGGATGCGGGGAGGAACGGTGCCTTCGTCTTGCATCTTGAACTGGATGAAGATGAAGACGATGATCAAGACGGCGAAGAGGACGAAGAGGAAGATGATGCGCCAGCTGTCCCACTCGTAAGTGGTGCCGCCCCATTGGAGCGCGAGCAAAAGGCTGACGATGGCGGGCATGAACACGGCTGTGCCGTAGGGGTCGAATTTCAGGATGGTCTTGGCCCAGGTTACTTCGGTCGGTCTCTCGCGCTGCGGGTCGGGGAAGAAAAAACCGATGACGACCATGGTGACGGCGCCGATGGGCAGGTTAATGTAGAAGCACCAGCGCCAAGTGACTTGGTCCGTAAAAGCGCCGCCGAGAAGCGGGCCGGAGACGGAGGCGATGCCGTACATGGAGCCGATGAAGCCCGTGTAGACGGGACGTTTTTCGAGAGGCACGGCGTAGGCAAGGATGATTAGGGCGCCGGAGAAGATGCCTGCGGAACCGACCCCGGCGATGGCGCGACCAATGATTAGGGTGGTGGACGTGTTGGCGACGCCGCAGATTAGGGAGCCGAGCTCAAAGATGAAGATGGCGATCAGGAAGACCCATTTGAGGGAGAAAAAGGTGTAGAAGCGCCCGAAGAGGAGTTGGAGCGCGGCGGTGGTTAGGAGGTAGGCTAGAGTCTGTCAGCGGCTGTCAGTGAACGGGGAGGAGTAAAGGAGGAAGAGACTCACCACTTCCATACCAACCGACATCGGGCAAACTGTGAAACTGATCCGTGATCTTTGGGATGGCCGTCGCAATAATCGAGTTATCTGCTTATTGTTAGTCTCCATCTATCTGCCTTTCAGCTACCGGAACAAGAGCGCTTACTTACCAAGAGCCATCAAGAAGACAGCCAAACACAAGGCCATGGTGATCATGCCCAACTTGAGGCCTGTCGGGTATTCCACTCCATCCTCTCGTATCGTAGTAGCGTGACTCTTCTGCGTAGCATTGGACTTCCTCTGTGTCAACTCATGCGGCTGTTCCTTCTCCGGATCTGTCAAGTCGATTGTCCGTCCGCCGTCTGTGTCCGAGAGGACTTCCTTGTTGTAGCCTTCATCCTCTGCTATTGTTGGTGCTTTTGATTCGCTCTCGCCGACACCTGGGGGTACTGCTAGGTTGTCGCCTTTGGCGGCGTCCTTTCTTGTGCGGGCCATGATGGCTTGTTGGGTGTGTCGTCCAGTGTCGGTTCCTTTTGGGAGAGAGTCCGAGGGGATGGGTAAGCGGAGTTATTTATGACGATGGAATATGCGACACAGGATGGAGGTCCAAGGATAGGAAACACCCGAGTCCCATGACAAAGGATGGTGATAAGCCCACTTCCGTTACCAATCGTAATCCCCGGGACCCATCAGTGTGCTTCGGAGATATCTTAGCAACTAAGGTGTTGGGAAAAGTTACACCAAACGGTCCTATTAGCTAGCTGATGCCGGCCCGTAGGTGAGATGTACCTTGTATATCGGCTTCGTTGTTGGTGTTGACTTGTCAGAATGGAATCAAATCATCATGTTGTCGAGTCATGGCATGGAAGCCTAAGAAGGAATGGGGGAACATACAAGTCCGAGTCCTTGGCACCATCTGTCATATCGTGCGCTTGGTTCTCTTTCCATGCTATGCCTGCCAAGTGTAGTATGTGGCGGCGGAGCTGACATCCGGGCTCTTCTGGGTTGACGTTTTCCCACTCCGTCGGCGAAAACGTGACATGCACGATTGCTTCCAGTTACCGGCGTTTTGGTCGTTTGCGGTGTGCTTGAAGCATGCATTTTCTTGGCAATTTGTGCATCCAAAGTGTATCTGCCATTTCAGTTAAAAGGCAGAGGTACGTACCTACCCGACCATCTCCCGCATCGCATTTGTCATCTTTCCCGCCAAGCTCTTCGGCCAACCTCCAGCCAAACGGGACAAAAGACTCCCAAGGGAAGAGCAACCTAAATCCATTCTGTTGGGTGCGCCATCAAGCCCGCTGCCTAGAGGTAGCAACCACCCATCGCTCTAATAATTGTAGACGAGAACTGTCTGTCACTGGGCCGCTCGCATTATTCTGCTTACCTTCCATAGCTGTCCCGACGTCGGGTCGGCCAACACCCGATCCGGATTGGGATTGGGGATTTGGCCCGTCGACCTATCGGGGAAATCGCATCATTTCGTCAAAATAAGTAAGCCCTATAACCCTATCTCCAAGTCTCTCGTTCGTTCTAGCGCATCCCTTTGTCAACAGAAACGAACAAATCCCACCGTCGAAATCACAATCCCAAAACCAACATGGCTGGCAGCGGCCGCTAGCCCGCATCCTCGGATATTCCAGATGAATTCTCCCGACACCGTGGCTCAGTGTTTCACAAGGTTAGACTCCTACCTACAACCATGGAAATTCCAGGAATGACTGTCCGCATTGTCCCACGCTCTCACCGAACAAGATGCAAGTAAGATTTGAGTCCGGCGCCACTATCCTGTCAACAAATCTCACTGCCACTTATCACAGTTATCAAATCCGATTCCGAGTGGTTAGACGCACAAATGCAAAGTACGTTGCAACGAAAGCGGGAACTACGCCCTTTTGTCATTCCTGACACGATGTTTGGTACCACGACTGCAAGGCTGCCATGGTGACGACGACTTCCACGGCTTGCCCGACTTGTACCAATAACCTTTGAATCCGGTCTTTGCATTCGGGCAAACTCAACTCGGCCATCGACGGTTCAGACATTTGTTTTGCGACATCTGGTTGCCGCGTATAAGAACCAGTGGGCGACCTTGTCCTGCTCACAGTCAACGCAGGCGAATCCGAGCAGGAAACCGACCTGACCTGAAGCAAACAACAAAGTCGGATGGATGCCCTTTCCGCTGCCCACTAGTTCCGTATCGTATCGTACTTTTCCTCCCTTGGCAAATCCCAACCATTTTCTGTTCCCTGTTTTGGCCGAGGCTGTTGATGAGAACCACATGGGATTCAGAACGATGACCCAGAACAATGAATCACCCTGAATCAGCATGACTCCTCCCCTTCGGCATTGGCGTCATAGCATCGGCGCTAGGTAGAGCATCCCTCATGTTCTCCGAGGTCACGGATCGACAAAACAAGACAAAACAAGACAAAACAAGACAAGACAAGACAAGACAACCTTACTGACTGCCGTGCAACATGGAACCCAGCACCGCCATGCCGCCAATAGACAAAAGTATCTCTAACAGTTCTGTCTGACTCCCGCTGGGTCTCATGGAAGAATGACAAAAGGAACGTACCTTACCTACCTACATCAATCAGAGTCCATCCATCCCGTCGCTAACACCGAAATGGGACTGGCTGATGATCTTTCTTTCAGGGGCTTTAACACCGAACCCTTACTTAAGGTAGTTGGGGTCCAAGATACGTTACGGCCCGGGGTTATGGGCAGCAGTTGCCGCTAACACCGAATGCGTACCTTATGTAAATCCCGAAGCCTAGCGGTTTCTTTTTGAGCGAAATTTGGGACAAATTCAAAAAAGAAAACCCCGTGACGGCCTTCCTAAATGGCCAAGGCAATGTATAAAGCTATTATTAAGATCTCCCGTCCCGCGTTCCTCGTGTTCACAACGCCCGGGCACATCTATTACAAGTACCTACCTACCTAGGTACTTAATGTCCAGATGCACTAACTACACAGAATATCAGTGTTAAGACACAGCAGGGCTTTACGTGGCTAACAGCGCGCACGCACTAACAGCGCGCTCACCCGGAGATAGGCCCGTAGCTGTAGCAACCTAAGGAACCGAACCGTTGTTAAGGGTAGGTAGCTCCATTATCTCCACCCCCGCCACTAATCCCTTTAGCGCTAGCGTAGGTAAGGTAGGTTCGCCCATGTCTTCCATTCCATTCCTTTCTTGGCAACCTAAGGTCGGGTAAGCTTATTCCAACCACACCTTCCTCCCTTCCTTCCTTCTTGTCCATTTCCAGGTCCAAATCTGACACGACTGGACTGGCTTTTTGAAACCAATGAAAACAACAACAACAACAAGGCGAAACAACCATGTTGGGGAACATTGATTGATTGATTATAATCTGCAAATTGGAACTTGGAAGAGTGAACGGTAGGCAGGCCTGGTCTGGGTTCAGTACGTACGGAAAATCGGTAGTGTCGGTTGTACCTGCTCACAGCTTTCTTCCACCCGGCCGGCACCCAAGAACGCCTGGTGACAAGTCGGCTGGCTGACATGCTGACAGACAGATGATACTGCAAAGCGGTCCTATGCATATATCACAGGAAGCAATGAGCAAAGGCAGGAGGAGTAAAGGTGATGCGATGATGCGATTCCACAATATAAAGGCAATATTGGGGCAAACTTACAACAACCAAGGGCTATTGGTCTAGGGGTATGATTTTCGCTTCGCATTGTGTCATGCGCCTGTGAAAGGTCACCGGTTCAAATCCGGTATAGTCCATTGCTTTTTGCTCCTTTTTGCTTTTTGGTTCCATTCGTGAATATCTTCTTCTTGCAATGAAAATTCCCAACTTCTTTTCTTGTAACAATTATTTTGCGGGCACAAAGTGCACTTTCGGGCCGTGCGTTATGATTTGGTTAGTGCGTGCGGGGTTTTGTATGCGGTCCGCCCGCGAAATGCACTAACCCCCTACCCGGACAGAAACCGGGCTCAGCTGCTATATATATATAGAGGAAAGAGCTTGATCAAAAGGCAAGCTGATCAGCAGCGGGAAAACAACAATCGTGAGACGTCCATTTTATTGAGCAATTTTCTATATTCTCTCCCATATTGTGCTAGTACACCGGAAGGACCGCAAAAAACTTGTATACCTTACAGACTTCCATCGGTAACATCAAGGTTGGAATCAAGAAACTAAGGGCACTCTCTAAGCCTTCTATGGAAAACACAACCATGACGCCTGTCGTAAACTCAGAATAATCCTGCTAACCATGGGTTTGAAACGTGAGAAAGAAGATACAAGACTTCAACGAGAGCAAGCTAACAACCTTTTCAACAGACTGCTATGATAACTTGAAGGATAACCGCAATTATCGAAATAAGGCCAGTGCGTCTCTCAAAACAAGTGTGAAAAGTTTGTCATAAACTTCAAAGTTCGAGCATGTTCTGCTCAATGCCCCATTCCTTAGCAAGATCTCTAGTCCTCAAATGAGGACTCGCTCGGCGTGGCTCGTCCTCTTCGTCAATGGCTTTGGTAGAAGCAGGTGTGAAATTGCGAGCTCGCTTGACATTTCCATTTCCGTTTCCATTTCCCACGGCACTATCACTTCCATTACCATTTCCGTTGCCCTGTCCGCTTCCGAGACCAGCGTTGAGCGAGCTGTCGGTCCGACTGGCAAAGGGGGTCAGGCCGCGTGGCGGGTTAGAAGTGGGATTTGTGGAAATGTTGGAAGTCGAGTTCGAGGTCAGGTTGGGTGAGAAATTGGAGGAAGGGTTAGAGGGGAATCCGGAAGGAAGGCCGGAAGGAAGGCCAGAAGGAAGGCCAGGAGGAAGGCCAGAAGGAAGGCCAGAAGGAAAGCCGGGAGGAAAGCCGGTAGGGTTGGGACATGAAACATGACTGCTAAACGTATTAGAGCTGGACCCAAACTCGGCCTGTCTCGGACTATTCTGATGGCTCCCTGCGACCGAGAACATGCTTTGCAAGCTTGGAGAGTTGCTCGAGCTTCCGGCGCCATCCATGGAGGACACCATTTGGGACAAGTTGGATGCGATGGGACACTGGGAGTAAGCCGGCTGTGAGAACTTGCGAACGTCGCTATGGTCTGCAGAGGGGGTCGAGTAAGCTGATGAAGGGTTGGAACCAGAGATCGTAAGGAAGCGGTTCTCCTTACGTGACTTGACATCCGAAGACGGGAGAGGTATCTGGTGAGGCTGAAGCGGAAGCGGCATCGGCTGGTTTAAGAGAGTGTTGGTCAAGCAGGAGGCCATGTCGGAGGGGATGGATGGCATGTGAGTAGACATGGAGGGGAAGTGGACTCCTGTAGTCATATCTTCAGCACGGGGAGGGAGTGTTGTCGGGGTATTTGTTGGCACCTTCATGCTCGTAGGGTGCTCGTCATCCATGCTATGTCCAGAAACATGCATAGCCTCGGGTTGGTCGCGATTGTGACCATCACCGTAGTCGGGCATGGTTTCATCGCTACTCTGCTGCTGGGTGCCCTGTCGCATGCCAAATTGCCAGGAACTGTTGCCCATTGAGCCAGCCCAGTCCATGTAGGAAGGCTCAGTGAACGGATCGGGGTAGGAAAGCGACGAGCCAGAGCCAGTGTTGGTTCCTCGGGGTGCATAGGGCATCTGGAGAGTTTGTGTACCCCCGTAGCTGGTGGTAGGCGGTTGGGGTTGAAACACGCCATGGGTCATGATCGGGGTTGGGAAGCCTGCTGGGCTCTGGCTGCTTTTCTTGGCTCTCTGGGGCGAGTGCGTGTGGGAGTTGATGCCATCGTCGGGCTGGTATGTTGGGACGGGAACGTTCGAGATGTAGGTCGGGGTACGCCACATGGATGGGTTTGGCCAGGCGATAGAGTTGTTTTCAAGCAATTCTAAACACACAGACTGCGATCAGCTTTGACAACAGAGGAGAGCTGGGTGGCTTGGTCTTACCTAGCGGAGCATGCTGGAAGGAAAAGGCGACGACATTCTTGACCCGCTCAAAGGGCACCGTCAGTGAGTCGCGTGGAAAGCCTTCGCTGATGAGAACTTTGATGCGACCAAGGTCATCACCAGGGCTCCAGTGGCTCTCGTATAGAAGCTCACGGCGAAAGGTAGGAAACTTTAGGCGTTCGCGTTCGCCCGTCTTTGTATACTCTTGGTGCTTGTCAGCAAGGTATTGTACTCGCCGACTGTTATTGCCATGATGCTAAGGGATTTTTGGGACACGTACCAAAGGTGTCTGCAATCAGATGGGGTCCGTTGACCTTTCGATCAAAGGCAGTAGACGCCACCAAGCGGCCGTCGATGAAGATGCGCGCCTCGAACTTGACAAACTCGGTATGCCTGCTATATGTCCTTGTGAAGAGACTGATGTCGGGAGTTTTCCAGGCGTGCATCGAGATCTGGAATGGACTGCCGGCTGAAAGACTCGGGATGAAGCAGGTCATGACAGGTAAGCCAGCCTGTCCGTGCATATGAGCGAGCTCCTGGTCGGGAACTACATGACACTGGACCTTGAACTCTTTGATTGGAATCTTGCCGTCCCTGTCTGTAGGGAACAGGATGACGTCCCAGTCGTCGTAGCGCATCGTCTGGTATGTCGCAGCTCAGCCAGAGTTGAAGTGAAGAGAGGCAGAATGTAGTATCGATGTTGCTCGGAGCACTGGCAAGATATAATGCAACAAGGAGCAAGAAGAGAAGCAAAACGAAACAGTACACAACAGACAAGCAAAAAGTGACGATGGTTGGCCACAAGAGTTGGAGTCGAGGGTTGCCAAGTGTATACCTCCAGGTACAGATCTCCTCCTGCTTGACCGCCTGGACGGGAGTACCTACCCGTATCACACCAGGCCAAAAGGTCCACAGCAATCTCGTGAGCAGCAGCTGGGCCCAGAGATAGGGAGAGTGCTGTGGTCGTTCCTTCCGTTTCCGTATCGACAACATCGGGCTATTAGGTAGATCATGGGGAAATCCACAAATGGCCGGCATCATCGATTTCTTGAATTGTTGGGGAAGGATATCCTGCAATTCGAGTGTCATTGCCATGATTGAGACTTGCCTTTGATACCTGTTGGCCAGAGTGATGGTGAAATCTCTTTCCATTGCCTGTTGAAGTTTATCGTAGACGGGAGTTGCCCTGGATAGAGTCTTCGGTCCCGAGCCGGTGGTCCACTTGCGACTTACACGGCAAATGGAGCCTTCTGGTCAGTGATTGGAAAGGAGAAAACGGCAAGGTTACTCCAAGACCGGATAGAATTCCAGGCCCAAAAGGAAAAGCAGAAACTGGACATGGCGACTGTATGATATCAGAACCAACAGGCAGCATGTGAAAGATAGAACGAGGGGAGCATCCAGCACTCTCGAGATGATTAATGACTGCTTCCCATAACTCAACTGTATGACTTCCCCAGGTACCGTTCACCCCGGATGGAAGTACCAAGTAGCAGCTACCACTATGTACACGGCGCATGCTCTGTTCTGTAACTGTTCCTTCGTGACTGTGTTCACGGGTTAGGATCACCCGACTGTCTCGCCTGTCAAGTGGAAATGCCAAAAGTCAGCACTGTCCAGTCCCATGTCTTGATCCACAAAATGGAGGAGACCTCGAGGCCGTCTCCATCTTTCAGCCTGGGGAAGCTCCACTTACTCTGATAGCTCCCGAACCGCCCAACTCTTGCAACAAACCGCCCTCGAACTCGCGAGGATACGACACCTTGTCGGGATACGTGAGCTTGACGCCGTAGCAGACGCCGAGGAAGACGACGATGAAGGCGCCAATCTGGGCAAGACCCTTGCCGGGCGAGATCCAGGTGTAGTCGTATGGGGAGAACATGCCCATGAGATCGTGGTCTTCGTGCACGGGCTCGCCAAAGTTGCGACGTTCCTGAGGGTCCCACCAGTCGGCGTAGGGGTCGCGATGCTGGCGCTTGATGCGCGGAGGGTTGATGTAGCCGCCGTTCTGCACACAACCAGTCCGTCAGCTACCGTTTGGTTCTGGTCTGCCTGTGTCCCTGCCTCCTATCCTACTGCCTATTGTCATACCATCTCGGGGTCCTCAGCATCGGTAAGGTTTGGATAATCGGACTCGGGGTACTTTTCTTCGAAAAGGCCTCCGCGGCCCGTCATCTTGTCGGGCAAGAAGGTACGGCGTTGTTGGACAATGGGGGATCGGTTCGCGGCGAGCGCAACAAGGCGGGCGGGCGAGGCCCGGACAAATCGGCGGGACAGCATCTGGGTCGGTGTAAATCGTCAGTTATTGTTTCGAATTCGGTGCTGTCAATTGGCGCATGGTTACCTTGGCTTATGAGGGCCGCAATGCAGTCGTGATGCCGAGTTCGAATTGATTTGGGATCGGGATCTTTGACGTTGACGACACCAGGCGCAACTCGTCGGCCTGCTCAATCCCAGATGGTCTGTGCACAGAGGGCTTGTGGAGCTCCTGATTGGCTTGCAGGGATGGGCTAAACCCGAGGAATGGCTGCCCCGCATCAGGGCTCTTGGCTTTGGAGCTGCACTAACAATTTCACAGTGGCACTCAGTGTCTCGCCCATCGTCAGCGTCAGCTAGTCCACTCTCAAACGCGTCGCGCACAGATCTCCTCATGGCTCCTGCACCCAACACGGCAGCATCATTCGCCATCAGCAGAGGCCATCATCCACTGTTGAACCATCAGGCTGGCCGTGTTGGCTTGGTGTCCCGCTCAGTGCCGCTGCCGTTGATGGATTTTTTTTCGTCGGTTGGCAACTTTTTGCGATTTGCGGGCAACGGCCATTTTCTCGACATTTCCACGC